TCCTGCCTTAGCCTTCTAAGTAGCTGGGACTACAGGCATGCGCCACCAGACCCAGATAATTTGTATATTTTTGGTAGAGACGGGGTTTCACCATGTGGACCAGGCTGGTCTCAAACTCCTGACCTCAGGTGATCTGCCAGCCTCAGCCTCCCAAAGGGCTGGGATTACAGCCGTGAGCCACCGCACCTGGCCTCCATGTTGTCCTTTTTATTATTACTATTGCTATCCTAGTGTGTGTGCAGTGGTATCTTACTGTGGTTTTGATTTGCATGCCTTTAGTAAATACGATATTGAGCATCTTTTTATGTGTTTATTGGCCATTTGCATATCTTCTTTGGAGAAACGTCTATTCAAATCCTTCACCAATGTAAAAATTGAGTTATTTGCCTTTCTTAATTGTTAAGATTTATATATTCTAGATATGATCTCCTTATCAGGTTTATGATCACAGATATTTTCTTCCATTCTGTGTCTTTCACTTGCTTGATGGTGTCCACAGAAGCACAAGTCTTACATTTTGATCTACCACTTATTAACTGTAAGACCTGAGCAGGCCAGATGTGGTGGCTCACACCTGTAATCTCAGCACTTTGGGAGGCTAAAGTGGGAGGATGGCTTGAGCTTAAGAGTTCCAGGCTAGAGAGAGTCATGATTGCACCACTGCACTCCAGCCTGGATGACAGAAAGGCACCTGGTCTCTAAGAGATTTTGAGTAAATTACCCTGCTTCTCTGAGCATTTCTCACCTGTAAAGTGAGCATCATGATGTCTTGTAGGTATAGGATAAAACTATAATGAGGTGAGAAACACAAAGCCCAGATCACAGGGCTTGGGTAGGCTCAGGTAGAATCTATACTTAGCCGAGAATCTCATGGGAGGAAGGGAATGTCTCTGAGGGTGCAGGTCATGGGTGATCCACAGGCCTCCCCATGCCTCTTTCCCCCATTATTTCCACTGTATGTGTTTATTGGCTCTGTCTGAATCTACTCCTAATTTCCTGATTGCTTCTTCTTCAGTGCCTAGCACTGTACCACACCCACAGACAATGTACATCAAATATGTGATGGATGAATGAATGAATGAAAAGGAAATGAAATCTCCCACCCAAGGTTGCACTCCAGCCTGGGCAACAGAGCAAGACTCTAGCTCAAAAATATCTACATATTTTTTAAGAAACTCAAAAAATTAGCCAGGTGCGGTAGTAAGCAGCTGTAGTCCCAGCTACTCAGGAGGCTGAGGTAGGAGGATTGCTTGAGCCCAAGAGTTCAAGCTGCAGTGAGCTATGATCAGGCCACTGCACTCCAGCTTGGGCAACAGAGCAAGACCCCATCTCTAAAATTAAAAAAAAAAAAAAAAAGATCCAGGTGCTGTGGCTCACTCCTGTAATCCCAGCACTTTGGGAGGCTGAAGCAGGTGGATCGCCTGAGCTCAGGAGTTTGAGACCAGCCTGGCCAACATGGTGAAACCCCCTCTCTACTAAAAATACAAAAAAGAGCCAGGTGTGGTGGCAGGTGGCTGTAGTCCCAGCTACTCAGGAGGCTGAGGCAGGAGAATCGCTTGAACCAGAGAGGCAGAGGTTGCAGTGAGCCAAGATCATACCACTGCACTCCAGCCTGGGAAACAGAGTGACACTCTGTCTCAAAAAAAAAAAAAAAAAATTTAAAAAATTAAAAAATTGTTAACACTTGTCCCCACGGCAGGAAACTGAGATATTGGAGGTGGGTATGGGAAGGCTTACTTTTCAGTACACATCCTGGTATATTTTGTACACATCCTGGTATATTTTGTACCATGTGCATCTAATTGGTAAAAATTTAATTAATTTTAGTCTTCCTAATAGTGTTTGAGAACTAAAAGAGGTGACAATTTAATGTAGTGTGATAGGAATGCTAAAGTGAGTTGTTCCAAAGATCAACTTTGCCTCTGTCTGACCTTTCCCACTACAATGAACTCCAAGGTCTCAGTTCTTTTGATCTAGGAGATTTGGATTGTATTGTGCAAGGCTTGACATAATGGGACTACTAGGCTTGGGGATACTTTTATGAGAATTTCACTAAGAAAACAATAGTTTTAGTCTCAATCCCTTCATAGTTGGAAGCATAATGTTCCTGAACCCCCTCTGCTCCCAGAGATAGACAAATATTTCTTCTTCCAAAGCAGTAAAGAGGTCTAGATGAGCTGCTGGCCATTTGGGGGTGAGGGAGGCATTTGAGGGCACTGGGCCTGGTCAAGGCGTAATAGGGGTATTCCCAGGAGCTACTATAGGCTGGCTGACTGATGGGGATCCTTCAGGGCCGAGACCAGGTGGCGAACCCGCCGCTGCTGTTGCAGCCAATAGAGCATCTCCACTTTGTCACTCTTCATCTTGTCCAGGTAGCGCCGCCCCTTGAAGATCACTGGCTCGCCAAAGATTAACTCAATCTCCTCCAGGAGAGAAGCCAAAGAAGACTCCATTAAGTTGAGCTTCCTGTGGAGATGGCTTCGGATCTGATCCTCCTCCAGGAAGTGACTGGAGCTCAAGTTGGTCTTTTTGAAGAAGCGGTTGGGGTTGGAAGCTTGTCCCTCAAACCACTCTAGTCTCGCCAGCAACGCCTCCCGCAGCCGGATGGGCTTCAGGGCTCGCTCCCAGGCATTCACCAATGAAGGCAGCTGTCTCAGGCGGGCTTTGGAACTGTATTTAATGACCATGTCCACCTGGTCCTTGTCGGGGACCTCAAGCACAGACCACAGTTGTTCCAGACGCTTCTGCAGGCTCAGGATTTTGTGAGGTTCTCCCAGGTGGGTGGTCTTCCCAGCTCCTAGCCTGTGCTCTAGCACGGTGTTCCAATCCCACTCTCCTGGCACAAAGTCTGGTTCTTCATCTTCTAGCAATGGGGGAGGGTGCTGAATCTCTAGGGACTCTCTGACAGGAGCCACAATCTCCACAGGAACCTCTTCTTCATGCATTTGAAAGATGACATGAAGGAAATCTGTTTCATGGCTGGTGAGGTACTTGAAGTAGTCATCCACAGACAAGGTGGTTTTCCACGAGTTCATCAAGGAGGCCTTGTTTGACCACTTCTCCCAGCTTTTGGTAGCTTGGGGTGATGGGAGGGAGGGCATCATCTCAGTATTGGACTGTAAAGTGTTTGCTCTCTGGGAGTAAAGTCCAACCAGCTCAGGGTTGATGATTTGAGACTGTTTTTCTTGACGTAGAAAGGCTGAGGACAGGAAGGTTGACCAGTCTTTATCTGCTGCAGGCTCAACTAGGGGCCCTTGATCGAAATGTAAGTGGTCAGAAGAGACATGGCTCATCAACTCCTTGTAGACCTCCCTGGTAGTACTGCCAACAAAGTTATCAATATCCATTTTTTCAATGGCTTTGGGATCCAGTTCACCAGCCAGATGGTTATACAGGGCTCCGGCCCCCTCAATGTGGAAAGAGTCTAAGAAGTTTCTATCAGAGACCCGTACGGCAGCCGCCTGGACCACGACCTCATTTCTAAGCTTCAAAGTAATGGTCACTGGTTGTGGGTGAAGTGGAAAGGATTTGGGGGGCTGGGGGTCCCACTGCCCAGAGGTTTCTTCCTCCTGGAGGTTCCTCAACATCTTCTCCAGCTCCTCCAGGTGATGCCCTGCAGCTGGGTGACGGGTCACAACCCCAAGGAGAGGAGGCAGGCCTGAGTCCAGTGGTGGGTAGTGAGTCCCCTCCAACTTCATCTTCTTTATCAACTGCTTCAGATCCTCAGCCACGATGTGCCCAGTCAGCTCTGGTTTGCTCTCTGTAGCCAAGACCAGCGGGGTTAAGGGGCGAGATCGGAGTGGAGGAAGGCCCAACTCATCTGCCAGCCTCCAGCCCTCACGCAGGGAGGGCATGGATTGGCCTCTCCGGAGCTCAGAGTAGAAAGGCAAGGGGGAAGCCCTGCTGGTGGGGGCCACAGGATAGCTGCGCAGCGACACCATCTGTGAGGAACTGATGTCGATTTCTCTCTTCTTTCCTATGGAGGGTGGCCAGTGGAGAGGCTTTTTCCTTTTCAACCGAGGGATGGACTTCAATTCCTTCACTGGATCCATCTTTCCTGGCTCATTGAGAAACTCTGGTGGACGGCTGAGTTGGATGAGGTAGTTCAGGTTGAGGTTAGAGCACTGCACTTGGGCGAAGCCAGTGCTGTGAGGCCAGGGGATAGGGCACAACTTGAATGTCCCAGCGGGGCAGACAGGGCGCAGCTTGTCCACACCTCCAGAGGCCTGCTCTGCCCTCAGCAGGGCCTGAAAGTCGGTGAGCAGGCCACGGTAGACGTCGGGACTAGTGAGGAAGAGTGTGCAGTCCCTGGCAAGGCTGGCCGCCAACCGGGTGAGCGTGGCTGATTCAGTGAAGACCCCTCTGGGGGTCGACATGGTCACCAACAGGTGCAAGTAGCGCAAGAAGAGCTGTTCACTGCTCAGCAGCACGTAAGCCTCGAGCCGCTTCCGCAGCTTGTGGTTGTTTTTGTGGCTCAGACTAAGTTCGGCGGGCGGCTCCCGCCAATTGCACTTCAGCTCGTCCAGGATGACCCTGATGAGACGTAGTCGAGCCTCAGGAGGCACTCGCGCTGCCATCCCACTGCTGGAAAGCAGCTTGGCCACCCGGCTGCACAGAGACGCCACCGTCAGCTTCGCGAGAGGGAAGGACTGTAGAATCCGGCCCTCCTGCTTGGGGCGCTTCTGAGGCTCTGGGGACGTCGCCCTAGTGGGGAAGAGCGACAGCGGACGCAGCAACCGGTGGTAAAACCGCTGGAGCTCAGGCTCGTGCTTCGGAGGCTCCATCTTACGGCCTGCGGCTGCCACCGTCGGCTAACAAAAAGCGGAGTGGTTACTAAGGCAACCAGGAGCCCGAGGGCCCGAGTGCGCCTGCGCGGCCGCCACCCAGCGGCTGACAGGGCAGGGCCTTGCGTGCGCACGCACTAGGAGGCGGAGTTAAGGGTGTCTTTCGAGGGCCAGTCCCCGCGACACCGCGCTGGTTGGTGCTCCTGCGCCTGAAGAGTTCTGCGTTTCGGGCTGGTGACTGGGTCCAGAATGGCTTCGGACTCGGGGAACCAGGGGACCCTCTGCACGGTGAGGGTTGAGGCTTCGTGTAGAGCCTCGCCGGGCAGAGAGCCTCGGCCCCTGGGGTGATCGTTACCTTGGGTCTAAGAGGGGAAGGAGTGAGCACTTGGGTTGGGGCCTGGGGCCACGGGATGAAACTAGCATGCGAGGGTAGCAGGGGCCCTGCGTGAGTGTTGAGGGAGTGACTCCCATGGCCCTGGAATGGTCGTGAGAGTCATAAAGAAGGTGCTTGAAGAGGGATTACGTGGGGGCTTGTTCCCAGACCTTGGAGTGGTCATAGGGTAGGTAGGTGGTGAAACAAAGTCATACCAACGCACTTCCCCAGCGATCATCGGTCGGTCCCTGCTGCCCTTGCAGTTGGAGTTCGCGGTGCAGATGACCTGTCAGAGCTGTGTGGACGCGGTGCGCAAGTCCCTGCAAGGGGTGGCAGGTAAGAACAGGGTAAACTTTTCTGCGGACAGTCCAGAGGCCTCTAGGAGGGACCAGGCGAATCTATTAGACGAACCTTACTCCCATTTTACAGATGCAGAAACTGAACCCCAGAGAGTGGAAGGAATGTTCTCAAGAGTTACACACAGACCTGGAGGGAGAGCCTAGAGTACAGCTGTCCAGCTTGCCCTGACAGGTTCTAACTGCCTGTCTTACTGTCCTGAACCTCACGTGCCCCAGAGACTGAGGAGCTAGGCTGAAGGAGTTCCTTGGAAAACAGGCAGTTTTTGCTTGGGAAACAACATAATCTTGACAAAGCAAACAGCAGTGCTGGCCCTATACCATCCTGAGTAGCTTCTGGTTCTTAAAAGGCCAGCTGGTCTGTAGGTGACCTGGCACAATTAGAAAGATCTGGAAAGGTAGAGCCACCAGCATGGCTCTGGGAACTGGCTTCCTTTGATTCTGTTAAGTGTTCATCCAGGCCAGGCTTAGTGGCTCATGCCTGTAATCCCAACACTTTGGGACGCCGAAGTGGGTGGATTGCTCAAGTCCAGGAGTTTGAGACCAGCCTGCGCAACATGGTGAAAACTCTTCTCTATAAAAAATACAAAAATTAGCTGGGCGTCATGGTGCGCACCTGTAGTCCCAGCTACTAGGGAGGCCGAGGCAGGAGGATCACTTGAGTTCAGGAGGTGGAGGCTGCAGTGAGTTGGATTGCGCCAGTGCACTCCAGGCTGGGTGACAGAGTGAGACCCTGTCTCAAAAAAAGAAAAAGTCATTTGGCAGGTATGGACCAGACACTGGGGTTTTTTAGGGAGAAGAGTTCACACGGGTATCAGGCACATCCCCTACACTCAGGTGGAAATAAGCATGTAAGCGTTGCCTGGGTGGCATTCACAGAATGCTTCATGGGAAGAGCAATCCTGAGAGGGAATGAGATGAGATGGCTTCTGAACCTGGGACCTTGGTAGTGGTGGACTTTGTAAAGTGGTTAGGGGTGTGAGCTCTAGAGTTCAAACCCCCTCTTTGCCACTTAATGGCACTAAGACTTCATGCGCGTTACTTTTTGTGTTTCTGTTTCTTCCGTGTTAAATGGGGGATGATAATAGAAGCTACTCTGGAGGATTGTCTTGAAGAGTAACCGAGTTAATACAAAAAAAGCACTTAGAAAAGTCTTTGGCATGTAGTAACAGCCCAGTCAATCCTAGGGGATTATGAGAGGAAGGGCTTACAGGTGGTGATCTGGATGGAAGGAGGCTGGAGGGGGCAATGGTGAAGCTGGGTTTGCTTAGACTATGTGTTTTGTGGTGGTGAGTGAGCCCTCCACTTCCTGTACAACTTGCTTGCCAGGAGAGCAGACAGTTGGCCTTTCTCTTGGACCCGGCTCAGTTTTCAGCCCTCAGCGTGTTTCTTAGGCACCAGATAAAGACTTCTGGTGACTCTGTGTTTTCTGGTCTGGCTTGGCTTTCTCATGGGGCCCAGCAAGGAAGTTGTAGTTTTCTAGAATGCACACACACAGAGAAAGAGAGTTGCCATCTCAGGAGGCCTGGGGGAAGGCCTTCTCAGGAGATAAGCAGGAGGAGCACCCAGCCCAAGGCTCACCCCCTAGAATCTCTGTCACTTGCCCATTCTCTGTGGCCTTCTGTTTTCTCCCTCATTGGGCTCTGAGCCAACCAAGGGTGGGCCTGGCCACATTCCAAGGTCTGCCAGTCTTAAGGAGCAAACTGAATGGCTGCTTAGCTAAGGAACCAGCCTCCCTCTTGGTTCAGACTCAGTCAAGAATTCAGGAGGTGCATAGTGACAAGGAGCTTCCCACTTCAGGAGCAGAGAATCAGCTCTTCTCTGGAGACCCCAGGGTCTGGGAACTCTCCTATGCCGAATCCTGTCATCAGGACATCTTATCTGCTGTGTGTCCAAAACATACTTAGGCCTCCACACTGCTGCAGGCCACCCCGCCTTTCCCTAGCCTGTGTAAGAACCTCATCCTTTGATGGGTTCCCCATTGCTTCTGTTGCCCCCTCTAATAGCTTTTGCACATAAAAGCCAGTGTGAGATAGATAGATAGATAGATAGATAGATAGATAGATAGATAGATTTTTTTTTTTTTTTTTTTTTTTTTTTTTTTTTTTTTTTGAGACAGGGTCTTGTTCTGCTCTGTTGCCTGGGCTGGAGTGCAGTGGCACTGTCTCAGCTCCCTGCAGCCTCCACTTCACGGTTCATTCGATTCTCCCACCTCAGCTTCCTGAGTAGTTGGGATTACAGGTGTGCACCACCATGCCTGCCTAATTTTTGTACTTTTACTAAAGATGGAGTTTTGCCATGTTGGCAAGGCTGGTATCGAACTCCTGGCCTCATGTGATCCACCTGCCTCAACTTCCCAAAGTGCTGGGATTATAGGTGTGAGCCACCACACCCGGCAGACAACTGACTTCGAGACCTGCCTGGTCAACATGGTGAAACCCTGTCTCTACTAAAAATATTCAAAAAAATTAGTCAGACATGGGGGCTCATGTCAGTAGTCCTACCTACATGGGAAGCTAAGGCAGGAGAATTGCTTGAACCCAGGAGGCAGAGGTTGCAGTGAGCCAAGATCGTGCCACTGTGCTCCAGCCTAGGTGACAAAGCAAGGCTCCATCTCAAAAATAAAAAAATATATCATTCATGTATTATAAAAATCACCCATTTAGGCCAGGCGCAGTGGCTCACACCTGTAGTCCCAACAATTTGGGAGGCCAAGGCGGGTGGATCACTTGTGCTCAGGAGTTGGGGACCAGCCTCTGGGCAACATGGTGAAACCTCGTCTCTACTAAAAATACAAAAAATTAGCCGGGTGTGGTGGCGCATGTCTGTAGTGCCAGCTATTTTGGAGGCTGAGACAGAAGAATTGCCTGAACCTAGGAGGTGGAGATTGCAGTGAGCCGAGATTGTGCCATTACGCTCCAGCCTGGGCGACAGAGCGAGACTCTGTCTCAAAAAAAAAAAAAAAAAAAAAAAAAATCACCCATTTAAAGGATACACTTCATCTGTTTGTAGTATTTTCAGAGTTGTGCAACCATCTCTCCACTGTCAGTTTTACATTTTAATCACTTCATAAAGAAATCCTAGGCCGGAGCCAGGTCTGATGGCTCATGCCCTGTAATCTCAGTACTTTGGGAGACTGAGGCAGGCAGATGACCTGAGGTTAGGAGTTCAAGAGCTGCCTGGCCAACATAGTGAAACCCCGTGTCTATTAAAAGAAAAAAATACAAAAAAATTAGCCGAACGTGGTGGTGGTGTGTGCCTGTGGTACCAGCTACTCCAGAGGCTGAGGCAGGAGAATCACTTAAACCAGGGAGGTGGAGGTTTCAGTGAGCTGAGATTGTGCCACTGCACTCCAGCCTAGGTGACAGAGCGAGACTCCATCTCAAAAAAATTAAAAAAATAAAATAAAAAATAGAGACAGAAAATAGATTGGTGGCAGGGGTGGGTGGCAGAATAGGAGGGTGATAGCTAAGGGATTTAGGATTTCCTTTTATTTTATTTTATTTTATTTCAGAGACAGAGTCTCACTTTTTCACCCAGGCTGGAGTGCAGTGGTGCAATCTCGGCTTACTGCAACCTCCGCCTCCTGGGTTCAAGCAATTCTTGTGCCCCAGCCTCCCAAGTAGCTGGGACTACAGGTGCGCACCCCCATGTCTGGCAAATTTTTATATTTTTGGTAGAGACAGGGTTTCACCATGTTGGCCAGGTTGGTCTCAAACTCCTGACCTCAGGTGATCCACAGACCTCGCCCTCCCAAACTGCTGGGATTACAGGCGTGAGCCACCGCACCCGGCCTATTTTGTTCTCTTTTTTTTGTTGTCGTTGTTTTTCCGTGATGGAGTCTTGCTCTGTCACCCAGGCTGGAGTGCATTGGCATGGTGGCTCATAACTGTAATCCTAGCACTTTGGGAGGCCGAGGTGGGTGGATCACCTGAGGCCAGGGGTTCGAGACCATCCTGGCCAACATGGTGAAACCCCATCTCTATTAAAAATACAATAATTAGCCGGACATGGTGGTGTATGCTTGTAATCCCAGCTACTTGGGAGGCTGAGACAAGAGAATTGCTTGAATCTGACAGGTGGAGGTTGCAGTGAGCCAAGATCCTGCCACTGCACTCCAGTCTGAGCAACAGAGTGAGACTCTGTCTAAAAAACAAACAAAAAAAAATTTAAGCTATCTCCTATGGGAAGGATATTTTCTGTCTCTGTGGATTTGCCTGTTCTAGACATCTCAGGTACATGGCATTATATATGTGGCTTTGTGACTGGCTTTCACGTAGCATAATGTTTCAAGGTCCGTCCATGTTGTAGCATGCATCAGCACTTCGTTCCTGAATAGTATTTCATTGTATGGATACTACATTTTATCTGTTCCTTAGTTGATGGACATTTGGGTTATTTTTATCTTTTTTTTTTTTTTTTTTTTTTTTTTTTTTTTTTTGGTTGAGACAGAGTCTCGCTCTGCCGCCCAGGCTGGAGTGCAGTGGCCGGATCTCAGCTCACTGCAAGCTCCGCCTCCCGGGTTCACGCCATTCTCCTGCCTCAGCCTCCCGAGTAGCTGGGACTATAGGCGCCCGCCACCTCGCCCGGCTAGTTTTTTGTATTTTTAAAGTAGAGACGGGGTTTCACCATGTTAGCCAGGATGGTCTCGATCTCCTGACCTTGTGATCCGCCCGTCTCGGCCTCCCAAAGTGCTGGGATTACAGGCTTGAGCCACCGCGCCCGGCCGGGTTATTTTTATCTTTTGGCTATTGTGAATAATGCTGCTATGGATAGCCCACTTTAAAAAAGAAAAAAAATACGGCTTTAAAAAGAATTATGTATGTTTCCAAAGTTATAAATAATGCCTGGCGAGTATTAGGACTCACATAAATCCTGGGGGCAAGGTGGCATTATCCCAATTTGTATGAAAAGAAACAGACTCAGAATTGAGGAGGCTTACTCAGGGTTACACAGTTACAAGGTAGCTTGCCTCTGGCCATGGGAAGTTTGGTGGAAACGGGGATGGAGAATTGCTGTCTGTTTCTCTGTTTCCTGCTTCCAGCACTGGGTGCCAGCCTCTGTTGCCCTCTTCCCTCTCTCTCTTGCCAGGTGTCCAGGATGTGGAGGTGCACTTGGAGAATCAGATGGTCTTGGTACATACCACTCTGCCCAGCCAGGAGGTGCAGGCTCTCCTGGAAGGCACGGGGCGGCAGGCAGTACTCAAGGGCATGGGCAGTGACCAGTTGCGTGAGTGACCACTATGGCCTTGGCCCCTCTGGGAGGGAGGTGGCTCAGAGCTGGTACAAATCTAACCATAGGATTCTCGGGCTCTGGGTTGGCGTGGCTTTGAGGAAGGTGTGAAAATTATGAGAGACTCCCTGCCCTTGCCGAGCTGCTGAAGAGGTGTGCTGGGTGAGGTGGCAAGCCAACCCAAGTATCTAATACCTTGCAGATAATCTGGGGGCAGCAGTGGCCATCCTGGGAGGGCCTGGCACCGTGCAGGGGGTGGTGCGCTTCCTACAGCTGAGCCCTGAGCGCTGCCTCATCGAGGGAACTATTGACGGCCTGGAGTCTGGGCTGCATGGACTCCATGTCCATCAGTACGGGGACCTCACAAACAACTGCAACAGGTGAGTTGTCCAAAGTCTCCCCAGTAACATCCTCAGCTACACATTTTCACACTTGCCCCTCACCAATACTCTGTGAGGCACATACACACAGGCACAACCTCCAGATGAGGAAACTGAGGCTCACGGAGGTTAAATGACTTGCCAAAGGTCCAGAGCAGGTAAAAGGTAGAGTTGGGATTTGAGTCAAGATCTGACTTTGGCTGGGCACAGTAGCTCACACTTGTAATCCTAGTACTTTGAGAGGCCAAGGTGGGCGGATCACCTGAGGTCAGGAGTTCAAGACCAGCCTGGCCAACATGATGAAACCCCATCTCTACTAAAAATACAAAAAAAATTAGCCGAGCGCAGTGGCACATGTCTGTAATCCCAGCTACTGGGGAGGCTGAGGCAGGAGAATCAATTGAACTCAGGAGGTGGAGGTTGTGGTGAGCTGAGATTGCACCACTGCTCTCCAGCTCAGGGGCGACAGGGCAAAACACTGTCTCAAGAAAAAAAAAAATTTGATGTTGCAGGTCCTGCTTGTAACCACCTTACTGCCTCTGAGATGGAAGGGGACTTCTGGACACAGGAAAGGAAGGGTCCCCATGCCATGGTGTTAGTTATGCTGTGATATAACTAGTTGTTTACTCATCTGTGACTCCCCTGAGCCAGGAGCTTATTGAGGACAGGACCCATGTCTGATTCTTCTCAGTGCCCTCTACCCAAAGCCCAGCACAGAGTAGGCCTGTTTGTTGAATGAATGAATGAATGAATGAAGCAAATATAGATAGGTGAGAGGGTAGAGCACCTGCTCTGTGAGCTGCTTTCCTGCCCACCTGTTTCCTTTCTTTCCTAGCTGTGGGGACCACTTTAACCCTGATGGAGCATCTCATGGGGGCCCCCAGGACTCTGACCGGGTAAGTGTCTGTCTGGTTTTGGGCTTGAGCTGAGAGAGGACCTAAAGTCTCAGAGGCAGGGCAGGCAACTCTTGGGATCTTAACAGTGTGATTCCTTTTTAGTGGAGTCTTTTCCTCTCACTTTGTTTTGCTGAGTTTGGAAACATTTGTTGACACTTTCTATGATCAAAGACCAGGGGATACAATAGATTACAGCCCCAGTGCCTGACCCAAGGAGCTCACAGTCTCTGGGGGAGATCACTGAATGCCATGGTTTCCAGGCAGTGAGATAATCCTTACAGGAGCCTGCAAGGGGCCCTGGAGCCCAGAGTGAATAATTCATCTGCCTGAGGGGCAGGGGCAGTGGGAGGAAGTAAAATATGGAAGTTGAGGGTTTTACCTAAACTGAAAAGGCTGTCCCTGGCGCTCCCTAACACCCCTGGTCCTGGAGTTTCATTTTTCAGCAGAGAATCATTTCCCAATCTTCAGGGAATTGCGTGTTGCCTTAATGATTTTTTGCCTTATCTGAGTACTAGTTGTATTGTTAGTTACTCAATCATTTGATTTTTTTATTTTATTTTTTGAGACAGAGTTTTGTTCTTATTGCCCAGGCTAGAGTGTAATGACGTGGTCCCAGCTCACTGCAACCTCCGCCTCCCAAGTTCAAACAATTCTCCTGCCTCAGCCTCCCTAGTAGCTGGTACTATAGGTACACACCACCACACCTGGCTAATTTTTTTTTTTTTTTTTTTTTTTTTTGAGACAGAGTCTCGCTCTGTCGCCCAGGCTGGAGTGCAGTGGCCGCATCTCAGCTCACTGCAAGCTCCGCCTCCCGGGTCTACACCATTCTCCTGCCTCAGCCTCCCGAGTAGCTGGGACTACAGGCGCCCGCCACCTCACCCGGCTAGTTTTTTGTATTTTTTTAGTAGAGACGGGGTTTCACCGTATTAGCCAGGCTGGTCTCGATCTCCTGACCTTGTGATCCGCCCGTCTCAGCCTCCCAAAGTGCTGGGATTACAGGCTTGAGCCACCGCGCCTGGCCGACCTGGCTAATTTTTGTATTTTTAGTAGAGATGGGGTTTCACCAGGTTGGTCAGGCAGTCTCAAACTCCTGACCTCAAGCGATCCACCCACCTCAGCCTCCCAAAGTGCTGGAATTACAGGTGTGAGCCACTGTACCCGGCTCTGACTGTGCCATTTTCTATCTTGATGGGTTTGCAGCCTTGTGCCATAAAGCAAATGAAACCATGGTATGTGTTTCTTAATGCATGTAACTGATTTTTGGACTTTTCACATCTCTGTTACCTATCATGCTTTTCTTTTCTTCTGTTTATTTTCCTTTTCCTTCTTTCTTTCCTTTTTTTTTCCTTTTCTTTCTTTTCTTTTTTGAGATAGGATCTCACTCTGTTGCCCATGCTGGAGTGCAGTGGTGCGATCATGGCTCACTACAGCCTTGAACTCGGGGGCTTAAGCAATCCTCCCACTTCACCTGATAGCTGGGACCACAAGCATGTACCACCATACCCAGTTAATTTTTTTTTTTTTTTTTGTAGAAATAGGGTATTACTCAGTGAAACCCCGTCTCTACTAAAAAATACAAAAAATTAGCCAGGTGTAGTGGTGGGCGCCTGTAGTCCCAGCTGCTCGGGAGGCTGAGGCAGGAGAATGGCATGAACCTGGGAGGCAGAGCTTGCAGTGAGCCAAGATCGTGCCACTGCACTGCAGCCTAGGTGACAGAGCAAGACTCCATCTCAAAAAAAAAAAAAAAAAAAAAACCAAAAAAAAGAGGGTGTTACTATATTCCTCAGGCTGGTCTCAAACTGCTGGGCTCAAGCAGTCCTCCCTCCTCAGCCTCCCAGTGTTAGGATTACGAGCATGGCCGGGCGCGGTGGCTCAAGCCTGTAATCCCAGCACTTTGGGAGGCCGAGACGGGTGGATCACGAGGTCAGGAGATCGAGACCATCCTGGCTAACACGGTGAAACCCCGTCTATACTAAAAAATACACACAAAAAAAACTAGCCGGGCGAGGTGGCGGGTGCCTGTAGTCCCAGCTACTTGGGAGGCTGAGGCAGGAGAATGGCGCGAACCTCGGGGGCGGAGCTTGCAGCCTGGGCGACAGAGCCAGACTCCGTGTCCAAAAAAAAACAAACAAAAAAAAGGATTACGAGCATGAACTAGCGTGCCTGGCCTCTGTCACATTTCTTTTTTTTTTTCTTTTTCTTTTTTGTATTTTTGGTAGAAACGAGGTTTTGCCATATTGGCCAGGCTGGACTTGAACTCCCAACCTCAAGTATTCCGCCTGCCTTGGCCTCCCAAAGTGCTAGGATTGCAGGCGTGAACCACCGTGCCCGACCACTCTGTCACATTTCTAATGGTCAAAAGTTTTTACTCCCTGTTCTGGGAAATCGGAGAGGCATTTCTATAGAGTCCATTGCACAGTGCCATGCGTATGCTCAGTGATTAGTAATCTGCTGCTGCTGCAAATCAAATGACTCCAAAGTTAGGAGTTTATTTTTTTTTTTTTTATTTTTTTTTTTTTTTGAGACGGAGTCTCGCTCTGTCGCCCAGGCTGGAGTGCAGTGGCGCGATCTCGGCTCACTGCAAGCTCCGCCTCCCGGGTTCACGCCATTCTCCTGCCTCAGCCTCCCGAGTAGCTGGGACTACAGGCGCCCACAACCGCGCCCGGCTAATTTTTTGTATTTTTAGTAGAGACGGGGTTTCACCGTGGTCTTGATCTCCTGACCTTGTGATCCGCCCGCCTTGGCCTCCCAAAGTGCTGGGATTACAGGCGTGAGCCACCGCGCCCGGCCAAGTTAGGAGTTTAAAACAACAAACATGGCCGGGCGCGGTGGCTCAAGCCTGTAATCCCAGCACTTTGGGAGGCCGAGACGGGTGGATCACGAGGTCAGGAGATCGAGACCATCCTGGATAACACGGTGAAACCCCGTCTCTACTAAGAAATACAAAAAACTAGCCGGGCGAGGTGGCGGGCGCCTGTAGTCTCAGCTACTCGGGAGGCTGAGGCCGGAGAATGGTGTGAACCCGGGAGGTGGAGCTTGCAGTGAGCTGAGATGCGGCCACTGCACTCCAGCCTGGGCTACAGAGCGAGACTCCGTCTCAAAAAAAAAAAAAAAAAAAAAAAACAACAAACATATACTGTCTCTGGGGCAGGAATTTGTGTGTGACTTAGCTGGGTGCCTGCAGCTCAGGGTCTCTCTCGGGGCTGCAGTCATCTTAGGGCCCCACGTGGGGAGAATCTGCTTCCAGGTTTGCTCATGTTGCTGTTGGCAGGCCCCAGGTCCTCTGGCTGTTGGCCAGAGACATCAGTTCTTTGCCACGTGGGTCTCTCCCTAGGGCAGCTCACAACACGGCAGTTGGCTTCCCTCAGAGTGAATGAGCAAGAGAGAGATTGAGATTGGGAGAGGGCGTCCAAGACTCAAGCCACATTCTTTTGTAACCTAATCTTAGAAGTGACACTAGGTCCAGCCCATGCTCAAGGGAGGTGCAAAGCCCTGGAGGCATGGAATAGCAGGGAGTGTTTCTGAAGGGCAGGAGACTGCCTTGTGACCTGTGTTTTCTTCCTGGGCCCCAGGTGGGGCAGGGAATCAGAAGGAGCTGGCATCAAAAGCTATACCTCACTCAACCCCTTAACTTAGACAAGGAAGAACTGAGCAGGAGCTGAGCAGCCAAGGCTACAGTGACTGGCAAGTTGCTGTTGGGTTTTAGCATGTGCTTTTCCCAGATGGAAAAGAATTTCATGTAGGAATTTGCATACAGCCTAGTTGTCTCTTGCACATCTCCTAACTGATCTCTAAGCTCCCTTCTGTTCTCTCCTCACCTGCTCCAGTCCTTACTTTTCATAGACTGCACTAGAAGGATTGTTCTGAAGCCTGGAGTAACCAGGCCATGCCCCTGCCTGAAACTTGTCTTGGCTCCCAGTGCTTGAGAGTACAAGCTGGGCCTAGCTTCTTAGTGTGGACATTCAATGCCCCACTCCCCCGGCCTGTTGCCCCTGCCTGTGTGCTGAGGAAACAGCCTGGAAAGACTGCCTTTCCCTGAACTCCTGCTGGGTCATGCTTCCAGCCACGCTGTCCAGGCTGCCCCCTGCCTTGAGGCTGCTCCTCAAGCCGGGCACGGTGGCTCATGCCTGCAATCCCAGCACTTTGGGAGGCCACGGCGGATGGGTTACTTGAGGTCAGGAGTTTGAGACCAGCCTGACCAACATGGTGAAACTCTGTCTCTATTAAAAATACAAAAGTTGTCTGGGCGCGGTGACTCAAGCCTGTAATCCCAGCACTTTGGGAGGCCGAGATGGGCGGATCACGAGGTCAGGAGATCGAGACCATCCTGGCTAACACGGTGAAACCCCGTCTCTACTAAAAATACAAAAAAAAAAAAAACTAGCCGGGTGAGGAGGCGGGCGCCTGTAGTCCCAACTACTCGGGAGGCTGAGGCAGGAGAATGGCGTGAACCCGGGAGGCGGAGCTTGCAATGAGCTGAGATCCGGCCACTGCACTCCAGCCTGGGCAACTAAGCTAGACTTCATCTCAAAAAAAATAAATAAAATAAAAATACAAAAGTTGAGCCTGGCGTGGTAGCTTACGCCTGTAATCCCAGCACTTTGGGAGGCTGAGGCGGGCAGATCACGTGGTCACGAGATTGAGACCATCCTGGCTAACACAGTGAAACCCTGTCTCTACTAAAAATACAAAAAATTAGCTGGGCGTGGTGGCGTGTGCCTGTAGTCCCAGTTACTCGGGAGGCTGAGGCAGGAGAATGGCGTGAACCGGGGAGGTGGAGCTTGTAGTGAGCCAAGGTCACGCCACTGCAGTCCAGCCTGGGTGACAGAGTGAGACTCCATCTCAAAAGAAAAAGAAACAAAAACAAAACAAAACAAAACAAAAGTTAGCCAGGCATGGTGGCGTGCATCTGTAGTCCCACCTACTCGGGAGGCTGAGACAGGAGAATCACTTGAACCTAGGAGGTGGAAAGTTGCAGTGAGCCCAGATCGTACCACTGCACTCCAGCCTGGACAACAGAGCCAGACTCTGTCTCAAAAAATAAATAAATTAATTAAAAGACATACAAAAGCCGGGCGCGGTGGCTCACGCCTGTAATCCCAGCACTTTGGGAGGCCGAGGCGGGCGGATCACAAGGTCAGGAGATCGAGACCACGGTGAAACCCCGTCTCTACTAAAAATACAAAAAATTAGCCGGGCGCGGTTGTGGGCGCCTGTAGTCCCAGCTACTCGGGAGGCTGAGGCAGGAGAATGGCGTGAACCCGGGAGGCGGAGCTTGCAGTGAGCCGAGATCGCGCCACTGCACTCCAGCCTGGGCGACAGAGCGAGACTCCGTCTCAAAAAAAAAAAAAAAAAAAAAAGACATACAAAAACTAGCCAGGCCTAGTGGTGCGTGCCTGTAATCCCAGTTACTCGGGAGGCTGAGGCAGGAGAATTGCTTGAACCCGGGAAGCACAGATTGCTATGAGCCAAGATCACACCGTTGCATTCCAGCCTGGGCATCGCAGTGAGACTTCGTATCAAAACAAAACAAAAACAGACAAGCAAAAAAAAAAAAAAAACACTCTTCAGGGCTCTGTATCACCTCGCCCTCCTTGATCTTTCTGCTATTTAAGTCCCCAATGCAGGGCATAACAAAAAGTGCCAGGTGCAGGCAGCAGATGTCCCTCTGGAAAATGAGATAAAGCAGAACTGGCGCTTCTTCCTGCCCATCAGTTGGTGGCACAGTGAGATGCCTGGTTACTCAGCAGCAAGGTCATGGGAGCCTACCCGCACTGGCACAGGCACTTGTTTCTGCCCAAAATGTCAGGTTGGGGACAATTTATTTGCACAGATGTGGGTTTCTGAGGCTCACTAGTAAGGCCTTGTCACCCGAAAACACACCAACTGTTGTATTCACCCTGTGTGTCATGACCCCTAATCTGTTCTGTGTCTGGGTCCCCACCATGTTCTGAGTCCCTGGAGGATGGTGACCTGCATACTGCCCGCCATGCCTGGTACAGTGTGTCTGACCTAGGAGGTGCTCATGGGTGTGTTATGGCATTTTTTCTTACCTTCAAAGCAGAAGGAGGGCAGAGCCAGCTTCTAGGGGCTAGGACAGGCTCTTTGCCCCTTGCGTTTCCTTCTGTTCCTGGAATCTGGGAGTCAGGGAAATGACATTGGCTGCCTATGATGGTCAGGGAAGCCAAGCTTGGCCAACTTAAGCCTATGGGAATTGAAGACAGCCAAGGGCTCACAAAGCCATCAGGAGGCTGCGAAACTGGGCTAACTGGAGGCTGAGAAGCAGCACTGGGCGATGGCCTCACTGGAAAAACAGTCTGGTCTAACAGGAATGACTGCACAGGCAGGGGAAACTTCTACCGGCTCTTTTCAGCCCACTGTCATCCTGCCCAGGATTTCAGTTCCAGGGAGGGAGTGTTCAGATGGTGCAGGACTTCCTGGACCACTTTCCACTTCCAGAGAGGGCCAAGAGAACCTTGTCTGCCCAGTCCTTGGGGAGCTCAGATCCTACCAGACTGGTACCCACAGGAGGAAATGGGTACTTTGGGGAAGCAGGAAGAGGCATCGGAATCAGAAAGTCAGAAGATAACAGATTGGCACCATGTGGCACACATCCCCTCTATACACACTGGGTCTCATTCCAGCACCGCGGAGACCTGGGCAATGTCCATGCTGATGCTGACGGCTGCGCCATCTTCAGAATGGAGGATGAGAAGCTGAAGGTAAGGTGGAAAAGAAGGCGGGCACCCTTCCTAACAGGGTCCATCGTCTGAGGCTGTCGTCTCTCCTCAAAGGTGTGGGATGTGATTGGCCGCAGCCTGGTTATTGATGAGGGAGAAGATGACCTAGGCCGGGGAGGCCATCCCTTATCCAAGATCACAGGGAACTCTGGGCAGAGGTGAGTGGTGTCGGCCCCTGCAGGAGGCTGTGCTCTGCGGATGGTGCATGAGGAACCCAGGGGTGGGGACCTAAACAAGTACCCACCCTGACCACACATTCTTCTGCAGGTTGGCCTGCGGCATCATTGCACGCTCTGCTGGCCTCTTCCAGAACCCCAAGCAGATCTGCTCTTGCGATGGCCTCACCATCTGGGAGGAGCGAGGCCGGCCCATCGCTGGCAAGGGCCGAAAGGAGTCAGCCCAGCCCCCTGCCCACCTTTGAGCAGGACCTCACCTTGGCTCTGTTGCTGTCCTCCAGGGCGAGCACTTTCCTCTTCCAGAGGGGGCCAGAGGGACCTTGCCTGCCCAGTCTTTGGAGCGCTCAGTACAGGGCAGGAGCTGCTGCGGTGTTCCCTTGGCAAATGAGTTTTATTTTCATTTGGGACTTGGTGTTTTGTGCTTGTCTCTGTGCCCCTTATGGGCTTGGTGAACATAGCTCTGCCTCTTCCCTTTGTATCAGGGCCACCCCTTAGCATTGGAGCCAAACAAACCTGAATTCAAACCCCCACACACACTGAAGTCCCCATCTTCCTCCTTGGAGCCATAATGAAGAGCCACCACAGTCAAATTTCTGTTGGTGGCCTGTCCCCTCCCTTCACTATGGCTGATTGGAACCAGAATGGACATCTGACCTGTGGTGGCCCATGCTTTCCCTGAGAAATCAGCAGATCCAGCTTTAGTTTCTTCCTATGGTTGGACCCATAACCTGGGAATATGGGAAGTTTTGGTGGCCCTCTTCTCCCTGCCTTATTGACTGAGCACCAGAAAAAGCCAGTCAGCTAGGAAGGAAGAATGAAGCAGGGAGAACCTAAGAGTTGCTGGAGAATCCCAGTCACTCTGGAGTCCCCTCTCTGAGCCTTTCCTGAGGCCAGCTGCCTCCTGCCTGGGATTGAACAGATGCTCCTGAATCCTCCTAATGCATCCCCCTGTTAAGATAATCTGGCTTGAGGCCGGGCACGGTAGCTCACACCTGTAATCCCAGCACTTCGGAAGGCCAAGGTGGGAGGATCTCTTGAGCCCAGGAGTTTGAGACCAGCCAGGGCAACAGAGTAAGGCCCCATCTCTACAAAAAGTTTTTTTAATTAGCTGGGTGTGATGGTGCATGCTTGTGGTCCCAGCTACTTGGGAGGCTGAGGTGGGAGGATCGCTTGAGCCTGGGAGGTCGAGGCTGTAGTGAACCGTGATCACACCACTGCATTCCAGCCTGGGCAACAGAGCAAGACTCCATCTCAAAAAACAACAACAACAACAACAAAAAAACCTGACTTTATTTCTTTTAGTCATAAGTAAAAACTATTAATTAACATAATAAGTGAAGTGCTTGGCACAGAGCCTGTCACACAAAGTAAAGGGAGCAGCAGCTGTGATTCTGAGGCTGCGTGCGGTGCGACCCTTGGAGGCAGTCCTAGCAAAGCTCCCCTTTCCTATGGTTGGATGAGCTGCTAACAAGGGAACAGTTTGTGGGGCCTTGGGTTCAGAGCCTCCCTACTCATCTATTCTGTCCCTGTACCCCCACCCCCATGGGGTGCCTTGCTCATCCTTGACAAAGCTGCTTTTATGACAGGGTAAGCTGGCAGACTACAGACTTTGCCCCTACACTGCCTACTTGGAACTGAGTGGGTGGTTTCACAGTTAGTTGTCCTTGGCTTCAAGGCAGAGCCCCTGGCTCTGCTCCCATTCCCCAGTCCCTGTCTGTTTTCCCTTTCAAGGCTGTGGGTTCCACCTCTAGCCCCAAGCCTTGGACTCTGCTCTTTCTTGCCAAACCTCTGCTGGCTGTTTTCCAGCTCCCTGTGGTTGCTGGGAGCCAAACCCTTTTAAGCCCAGACTCAGGCTGTCTTTCCCCACTTCCAGGTCATTGCAGAAACTCATCCTGGATTCTCCCCACAGCTAACCCCTGACATATCCTCTCACCTCCATTCTGGAATGGTACCTGGGTTTTAACCTTTTTAAGCCTAAACAGTTCACCATGACACCACTCTATTAACCTCTTTTTTTTTTTCCTTTTTTTGAGACAGAGTTTAACTCTCTTGGCAAGGCTAGAGTGCCGTGGCGCAATCAAGACTCACTGCAGGCTGGGTGCGGTGGCTCACGTCTGTAATCCCGGCACTTTGGGAGGCCGAGGCGGGCTGATCACTTGAGGTCAGGAGTTCGAGACCAGCCTGGCCAACATGGCGAAACCCCATCTCTACTAAAAATACAAAAGTTAGCTAGGGGTAGTGGTATTACAGTGCCTGAAATCCCAGCTACTCCTGAGGTTGAGGCAGGAGAATTGCTTGAACCCAGGAGGCAGAAGTTGCAGTGAGCTGAGATCAGACCGCTGCACTCCAGCCTGGGTGACAGAGCAAGACTCCATCTCAAAAAAAAAAAAAAAAAAAGATCAACCTCATTAGCTTTTCTTCTGAAATTCTGGCTGTGTAGTTTTTCAAAGTTTATTTTTAAATCACAGAACACTGTTCAAACATTTTGAAGCCTCATCTGCAAAGCAGAAGAACTGCAGGCAAAGATGCTCCGTTTTGGTCAGGCACAGTGGCTCACGCCTATAATCCCAGCACTTTGGGAAGCCAGGGCAGGAGGACTGCTTGAAGCCAGTTAGAAACCAGACTAGCCAATAAAGCAAGACCCTGTCTCTACAAAAAATAATTTAAAAGGCCAGGCGCAGTGGCTCACGCCTGTAATTCCAGCACTTTGGGAGGCCGAGGTGGGCGGATCACGAGGTCAGGAGATCGAGACCATCCTGGCTAACATGGTGAAACCCCGTCTCTACTAAAAATACAAAAATTAGCTGGGTGTGGTGGCATGTGCCTGTAGTCCCAGCTACTCAGGAGGCTGAGGCAGGAGAACGGCGTGAACCCGGGAGGCAGAGCTTGCAGTGAGCGGAGATTGCGCCACTGCACTCTAGTCTAGGCGAGAGAGCAAGACTGACTCATATAATAATAATAATAATTTAAAAATTAGCCAAGTGTGGTGGCGCAGGCTTATAGTCCCAGCTACTTAGGAGGCTGAGGCAGGAGGATTGCTTGTGCCTAGGAGTGTGCTGCAGTGAGCCATGGTCATGCCACTGTGCTCTAGCCTGCCTGAGAGAGTAAGACCTTGTCTCTAAAAAAATAAAACTAATTAAAAAAAAAAAAAGGTCTTTAATCCCAGCAGTTTGGGAGGCCCAGATGGGAGGATTGCTTGATCCCAGGAGATCAAGGTTGCAATGAGCCATGATTGTGCCACTGCACTCCAGCCTGGGGGACAGAGTGAGACCCTGTTTCAAAAATAAATTAACAAATCAATAAATGAAAAGGAAAATTTGAGTCCAAGATGGGAAGATTACTTGAGGCCAGGAGTTCGAGACCAACTTGGGCAACATATCAAGAACTCCATCTCTAAAAAAAAAAAAATTTTTTTTTTGTTTGAGATGGAGTTTTGCTCTTGTTGCCTAGGCTGGAGTGCAATGGGGCGATCTCGGCTCACTGCAACCTCCACCTCCTGGGTTCAAACGATTCTCCTGCGTTAGCATCCCGAGTAGCTGGGACTAAAAGTGCAAGCCACCATGCCCGGCTAATTTTTTGTATTTTTAGTAGAGACGGGTTTTCACTGTGTTAGCTAGGTTGGTCTCGATCTCCTGACCTTGTGAACCACCCACCTTGGCCTCCCAAAGTGCTGGGATTACAGGCGTAAGCCACCACACCGGGCCTATACCTCCATATTTTTAAATAACATGACTGTCATTATTTCTTATTTTCAGTCTTGATATTGTCTGTGGAATTCTATATTAGGATGAATTCTGCAGTAAGTAACACAGTCTTAATAGTGGCCAAAGCAATTAAGACATTTAATTATGTCGCCAGATCAACAGTCTGGAGATTAGAGGATTCAGAGCAGGTCCAGTGGTGTGGCGACATCAGGATACTGTCATGAACTGTGTGTTTCTCTTCATGTTCCCTCTCCCCTTTTGGAGGCAAGGGTGATTGCCACAGCTCCAAGCCTCCCATCGTCACACATTCACATGATAGGGTGGAAAGCTGGAAGGAAGGAGACCAAAAAGGGAAACCTCCTTTCTAACAGAAGAACACATGCAATGGAATAATGAAAGTCAGCTGTGAAAATGTCTTTATCTGTGTTGTTACTAACTCATATTTTCCTGTAATCAGTTTCCTTTGTAACAGTGGCAGCTGTAACAAAGTACCACAAACTGTGGCTTAAAACAACAAAAATTTATTCTCACAGTTCTGGAGGCCAGAAGTACAAACTTAGTATCACTGGGCCGGAATCAAGGTGTGGACAAGAGCTTGCTTCCTCCAGAAACTATAGGGAAACATCCCTTCCTGGCCTCTTCCAGCTTTGTGTGGCTGCTGGCATTCCTTGGCTTGTGGCTGAATCTCACTCCAATCTTCAAGGCCAGCACCATCCACTCAGTCTGCTGTCTTCCCATTGCCTTTTCCTCTGTGTATTTGTGTCAAATCTCCTTCTGCCTCCCTCTTATAAGGATTGCATTACATGTAATTGCATTTAACACCACCAGAGTAATCCAGGATAATCTCTTCTTAGCAAGGGCCATTGATTCAATCACATCTTCAGAGACTTTGCCACTTAAAGTAACATTCACAAATTCCAGGGATTAGGACCTAGTATCTTTGGAGGCCATTAATAAACTTGCTACAGTGACCTAGTAAACCACAGGTAAATTGATACAATTAACTTAGGAAAAGGTCTCATAAGTAAATTTGACAGGACTCTAGTTTCCATGACAGAATTTCTCTCTAGCCTTTCTCTCCATTCGTTGTAAAGAGGTAAGGACTTTCCTTATCAGATTGTTTTATTGCAGAGATTGTTTTTACCTAAAACTAAGTTTACCTAAGTTTACAAAATTTGATTTAGATCAGTGGTTCTCAGTGGGGATGGTATGGCCCATAGGGGACTTCTGGAAGTTTGTTAGGGCCATTTCTTCTGGCTGTGACAATGCTAGGTGGGGGTGAGGATGCTGCTGGTATTGGGGGAAGACTAGGGATACTTACCAACCTTCAATGTGCAGGATAGTTCTCCACCAAATAGCCCACAGAATACCCTTGTAGGTAAAAAATCACTACTTATTTCTACTTCAGATGTTGTCTTGCTCTGTCACTCAGGCTGGAGTATAGTGGTGTGATCATAGCTCACTGTAGCCTCCATCTCATGGGATCAAGCAGTCCTGCCTCAGCTTCCCGAGTAGCTGGAACTACAGGCATGCACCACCATGTCCAGCTAACTTATATTTTTTCTTTATTTATTTTTGAGACGGAGTCTCACTCTGTTGCCCAGGCTAGAGTGCAGTGGCGTGATCTCAGCTCACCGCAACCTCTGCTTCCTGGGTTCAAGCGATTCTCCTGACACAGCCTCCTGAGTAGCTGGGATTACAGGTATGTGCCATGATGCCCAGGTAATTTTTTTTTTTTTATTGTGTTTTTAGTAGAGATTGGTTTCGCCATGTTGGCCAGGCTGGTCTTGAACTCCTGACCTCAAGTGTTCCACCCACCTTGGCCTCCCAAAGTGCTGGGATTACAGGTGTGAGCCACTGCGCGGGAATAATTTTTATATTTTTTGAGACACAGGGTCTCCCTGGGTTGCCCAGGTTGGTCTCAAACTCCCGGGCTCAAGTGATACTCCTGCCTTGGCCTCCCAAAGTACTGGGATTATAGGCATTGAGCCACTGCGTCCAGCCAAACTTCTTACTATGTGTCTTACATTGTGTTCAACACTTGTTATTGCTCAAAATGGCCTTATCCTTTATACATACTTGCCAAGAGAAATTTTTATTAGAGACAAGGTCTCACTGTGTTGCTCAGGCTGGAGTGCAGTGGTGCTATCACAGCTCACTGCAGCCTTAGCCTCCTGGGCTCAAGTGATCCTCCCACCTCAGCCTCCAGAGTAACTGGGACTACAGGCATACACCACCACACCTGGCTAATTTTAAAAATTCTTTTCGTACAGATGGGGTCTCACTATGTTTCTCAGGTTGGTCTTGAACTCCTGAGCTCAAGTGATCCTCCTGCCTCAGTCTCCCAAAGTGCTAGGATCACAGGGATAAGCCACCACACCCATCCTCAGATTTACAATTAAAAAACTCTACAAAAATAAAAATGTGGTAAAGCCAGCTATTTTATAGGTAAGAAAGGTGATACTCATAGATGTAAAGAATCTAGCTGGGTATGGTGGGTCATGCCTGTAATCCTAGCACCTTGGGAGGCTGATTCTGGAGGATCACTTGAGGCCAGGAGTTCGAGAGCAGCCAGGGCAACAAATCGACCCCCGTCTCTACAAAGTAAAAATTAAAAATTATCTGGGGGTGGCTGGGCACGGTGGTTCATGCCTGTAATCCCAGCACTTTGGGAGGCTGAGCTGGGCAGATCACGAGGTCAGGAATTCAAGACCAGCCTGGAAAGTCCAGGCTGCAGTGAGCCATGATTTCATCACTACTCCAGCCTGGGCGACAGAGTGAGACTCTGTTTCCAAACAAACAAACAACAACAAAGAAAAAACCTGCAAACTTTTCTTTGAGATCAGCTAAGCCAAGCTAGACACTTTACAGATGAGAAACTCACTGAGGGCTGGAGGAGGGAAGAGGGTTGCCCACTTGGACCATAAAACTGAACTAGGGCTAATTTAATGCTCTTTCCATTATTCCAGTTCAAGGAGTCAGATCCTTATTCAAGCCCCAGCATTCTGATTTGCCAGGTCTGTGAAGTTTGGCAAGATTCTTTACATCTATTTAATTAATTTATGTATTCAGAAACAGAGTTTCACTCTTTTGGCCAGGTTAGAGTGCAGTGGCACCATTACAGCTCACTATAATCTTAAAATCCTGGGCTCAAGGTGATTCCTTCTCCCTCAGCCTCTCAAGTAGCTAGGACTACAGGTGCACTACCACCTGCAGATATCTACACACACACACACACACACACACGCACACACACAAACACATATGTATTTTTTGAGACGGAGTCTTACTCTCTTACCTGGGCTGGAGTGCAGCGGCCACTATCTCAGCTCACTGCAACCTCCGCCTCCTGAGTTCAAGCAATTCTCCTGCCTCAGCCTCCCGAGTAGCTGGGATTACAGACACACGCCACTACACTAATTTTTTGTATTTTTAGTAGAGATGGGGTTTCACCATGTTGGCCAGGCTGGTCTTGAACTTCTGACCTCAGGCAATCCGCCCACTTTGGCCTCTCAAAGTGCTGGGATTACAGGCGTGAGCCACCCCGCCTGGCTGCCAGCTAAATTTTTAAATTTTTTTAGAGGTTGTCCAGGCTGGCCCTAACCTCCTGGGCTGAAGCCATCTCCCGGCCTTAGCCTCCCAAAGTGCTGGGATTACAGGCGTGAGCCACCACACCCAGCCTGAAATTAATTTTACCTGTTTCCTTTCACCTTTTAAAATGTGGCTAGTAGAAAAATTAAAAGCACCTATGGGTCTCACTGTGTTAAGGTGAGACCCCACCCGCTGGGCGGGGTGACTCCCACCTGTAATCCCAGCACTTTGGGAGGCCGAGACAGGCGAATCATGAGGTCAGGAGTTCAGGACCAGCCTGGCCAACATGGTGAAACCCCTACTAAAAATGCAAAAATTAGCCGGGCGTGGTGGTGTGCACGCCTGTAGTTGCAGCTACTCGGGAGGCTCAGGCAGGGAAAATCGCTTGAACCCAGGAGGCAGAGGCTGCAGTGAGCCGAGATAGCGCCACTGCACTAGAGCTAGTACAGCCAGGGTGACAAGAGTGAAACTCTGTCTCAAAAATAAATAAATAAATAAATAAAATGGCTATGCTTACTGGGTAGCTAGGAGTTTGCTGATATCCTGTTATGGGAATACTACCAGCAGTTTGGATTTCGGGAGATACCAGAGTACTGCCCCCTTTTCTTTCTTTTCCTTTTTTTTTTTTTTTTTGAGACAGAGTCTCGCTCTGTCACCCAGGTTGGAGTGCAGTGGTGCAATATCGGCTCACTGCAAGTTCCGCCTCCAGGGTTCATGCCATTCTCCTGCCTCAGCCTCCTAAGTAGCTGGGACTACAGGCACCCGCCACCATGCCCGGCTAATTTATTTTTTTGTATTTTTAGTAGAGATGGGGTTTCACCGTGTTAGCCAGGATGGTCTCGATCTCCTCACCTCGTGATCTGCCTGCCTCGGCCTCCCAAAGTGCTGGAATTACAGGCATGAGCCACCTCGCCTGGCCCAAGCACATGCCATTTCAATGGCCTTGTGCTACACAACTCCCACTATCCTATTCTGCTCTCTGTTCCAGGCTCTGGTCATATTGGGCTTTTTTTTTTCTTTTTTTTGAGATGGAGTCCTGCTTTGTCGCCCAGGATGGAGTGCGGTGGTGTGATCTCAGCCCACTGCAACCTCCACCTCCCAGGTTCAAGTGATTCTAGTGCCTCAGCTTCCTGAGTAGCTGGGACAGGTGCCAGTCATCACGCACGGCTTATGTTTTGTTTTCAATTAGCAATAATCGCACCTCGGATAAACCTCATTGGCTATGATACTGCCACTGTGCAAAGCTAATGTTTTATAGTTTCAGTAGAGACAGGGTTTTGCCATGTTGGTCAGGCTGGTCTCGAACTCCTGACTTCAGGTGATCCGCCTGCCTTGGTCTCCCAAAGTGCTGGGATTACAGGTGTGAACCACTGTGCCTGGGCCATACTGGCTCTTGACTCTTCCTTGAACTAGCCAGATTTGCTTCTGCCCTAGCACTCTTCGACTTGTACTTTCTGGCTGGCATGATCTTCCCTCAGAGGATGGCTTAGTTCCCTTGATTACTCCAAGTCCTCATCACCATCTAACACGCTTATGTTTTACTTATTTCTTGCCTGTCTCTCCCCACCATAAGATCCAAGAAGGTTGGGATTTCTGTCATTTTTTTTTGTTGTTCAGTGCTGTATTCTTGGTGGTGTCCACATGGTAGGTGCTATTTGTTAACTGAACACGCAAGCAAATATTTCCCTGAGTTTGTCACATGTCTATGTTTTTGATGTATGTCTGCTATGCAACAATCTTATTTACATACCCAAAACTGTTTAAAAAAAAATTTTTTTTTTTTTTTTGAGATGGAGTCTCGCTCTGTCGCCCAGACTGGAGTGCAGTGGCCAGATCTCAGCTCACTGCAAGCTCCGCCTCCCAGGTTCACGCCATTCTCCTGCCTCAGCCTCCCGAGTAGCTGGGACTACAGGCGCCCGCCACCTCGCCCGGCTAGTTTTTTGTATTTTTTTTTAGTAGAGACGGGGTTTCACCGTGTTAGCCAGGATGGTCTCGATCTCCTGACCTCGTGATCAGCCCATCTCGGCCTCCCAAAGTGCTGGGATTACAGGCTTGAGCCACCGCGCCTGGCGTAAAAAAATTTTTGATACGGAGCCTCACTGTGTCGCCCAGGCTGGGGTGCAGTGGCCTGATCTCAGCTCACTGCAAGCTCCGCCTCCCGGGTTCAAGCTATTCTCCTGCCTCAGCCTCCCAAGTAGCTGGGATTACACGCATGCGCCACCACACCTGGCTAATTTTGTATTTTTAGTAGAGAGGGGGTTTCACCATGTTGGCCAGGTCCTCAACTCCTGACCTCAGTTGATTGGCCTACATTGGCCTCCCAAAATGCTGGAATTACAGGCGTGAGCCACCGCTCCCGGACTAAAATTTTTTTTAATAAGGCTCAACTTTTGCTTCCTCAAGAATTGATTTTCTCGTTCATTAAACTGTTTATTGTGAAAACCTTCAAACATACAGTAGCGTCATTCCGTTATTTCTTGATTGGGAATTCCATCAGGGCAGAGGCCTTTGATTTTTCACCGTCTGCCAGGACCTCAGCAGCCCCAGGAAATGTTTCCAAAGAATGAATTAATGGCATGAAGGCTTCTCCGGGGCCTGCCTCAGGTCCCCTCGCGGTGCCCAGCACAGTCCCGGGAGCCGTTTGCCGACTCAAGGCGCCTGTCCTGGTTTCTCCCGCCAGGCCTGGCCTTCCCCTATACACTCACGCGGCCACCTCCAGGCGCGGGTTTGGACAGGGCTTCCAGAATGGGAGGAGCCTTGACTTCCAATTGAACAAAGTTTTTCCTAGGAGCCCGCCGGTCCCAGCCCCACCCGGGCCAGAGGCCGCCTCACAGACTAGGCCTCTTTGCCGCCGGGGCCGCTGGCGCGCGTTCTCCTCTCTTCAGCCCTCCCTCTCCCTCCCAACCCTCCCCCCGCCACGGGCTGTGGCGGTTGGTCGTCCCTTTCCCACCCCCTCAGCTAACGAGCGGGCTCTAGGCCCTCTGGGATTGGCTGTGCTTGAGTGCATCTTCCCTCAGCGTTTCTGATTGGTCGCTGGACGCGCGGGATGCGGGTCCCCATTGGCTAGGCCAGGGCGCCTGCGCGGCGGGGTTCTCGGTCGCCAGCCATTCCTGGGGAGGACTGCCGCTCGTTCGGACGTCTTTCCTGTCGCTGGAGGAGACGTCCGGGCTCTCCGGGAAGGCGGCTGCGGCGACAAAATGAAGATATTCGTGGGCAACGTCGACGGGGCGGATACGACTCCGGAGGAGCTGGCAGCCCTCTTTGCGCCCTATGGCACGGTCATGAGCTGCGCCGTCATGAAACAGTTCGCCTTCGTGCACATGCGCGAGAACGCGGGCGCGCTGCGCGCCATCGAAGCCCTGCACGGCCACGAGCTGCGGCCGGGGCGCGCGCTCGTGGTGGAGATGTCGCGCCCAAGGCCTCTTAATACTTGGAAGATTTTCGTGGGCAATGTGTCGGCTGCATGCACGAGCCAGGAACTGCGCAGCCTCTTCGAGCGTCGCGGACGCGTCATCGAGTGTGACGTGGTGAAAGGTAACGCGGAGGCGCGCTCGGGGGCGGGGGCGCGCTCGGGGCACTCTGCCTGTTAGCCACGCCCCTTACCCGGGGGTCGGTCACTGCGCGGTTGGGAGGGGTGGGGAAGTGCGCGGGAGCAGGCCGGAGGTGTTGGGGGCGCGTTGGGTAGAGCCACCCTCCTCCCCTGCGGTCCAGGAACCGTCCACCAAGTAGGAGGAAGCGGCTCTGGGTGGGTGCGGCGGCCACTGCGAGCCAAGCTACGGGGCCGGGGACGCGCCTGAGAGCCTTGCGAGTGTACCGGGGGCGCGCCTTCTCCTGGTCTCCTGGGCCTGGCACCCAGCGGAAATTGGGAAGTGACGGGCACAAGCCGGATCATGAAGCGGGGAAGATTTCTCCACTTCCCCACTTCCTCTCCAGACGTCGGTCAGAGCAAGGGAAGAGGGAAAAGGTGGGGGCTGACGCCCCAAGGCCGCCCTCCTGTTCCCTCCCGATGAATGTGCTCAAGCGGAAGGTAACGGGGCCCTTGGACGTTTCTCGGGCTGGGGTCTGTTAGTCTTGTCTGGCATGGGTCTACTCACGGGCACAATTACACGTGGGTACGAGAGGGGCCCCTTCCGAATCACTTTGGCCTTTCAATATTAGGTAGGTTAGGCGTGGTAGCTCTGTGCTTTCCTCCTCCCTCAAACCTGGGATTTTTCTTTGGGCTCGATTTTACATTTGTCAACTGGAAACCCCAGCCTTTTGCATGTGCAAGAAAGTTTGTTTTATGAAGGCCCCTTCTGCGTAGTCTTTACGTGCCAAGCCAGTGCCCTAGGGCAGTGTCATTCTTTCATAAGCTTGGTGACTTTGCAAGGGGGCATACTCTGGCTGAGGGGGTCCTGGGGAGGGGTCTGTGAGAGGTCTTCACTAAACAGTGGCTAAATACGATTTATTGAATCAGTAGTAGTCATTGCTTGAGCAGTCTAATCCTCAGGGCAGATCCCTATTGCCTTTTCTTCGAGAAAAATGTGTCACCGTAATTTAAGCCTGACTAGCGACCCAGTTGACTTTTTCATAGCCTGAGTTTTTATTCCTTAAGCTCTTTTACATTGGCAAGGTTTGGTAGGACAGCCCTTGTGTATGTGGCCAGCTTCTGCTCCACTTGGGAACAGATCAGAGCTAACTTTGCCCTGTCATCTCGGAGGATGCAGCCTGGGAGTATCTGATGCCCTACTCCTGGTGGGTTCATACCTGCTTATACTCTGTGTGAGAAGTTTCAGGGATAGGAAATAAATGTGGGTGCAAGTGCTTATTTATCCCACCAAGATATTTCATTTGCTGTCCTGGAAAGGCACATCTTTGGGGCCATTCCTAGTCCTTTAAGTGGGGGAAATATAAAGGGTCATAGTGTCCACTACTAGGAACAAGTCTTTGTTCTGCATTAATACTGCATTCTATTTTCCTCAACTCAGGTTATACACGTCCACGACTATCCGGAATCGGGCTTTCCTGCTGGGTGCTCTGAGGCAGGCTGTATGGTGCATGGATTTTTGCTTTTGTTTAGAGTAAAAGAGTGGGGCAGGGTCTCAGATTGGGTACTTGTCCAGCAAGAGGATGGGGTATATGAGTCTCATTTGTGAGAGTTTTGTGTTTAATTGACTTACCAAGTTTCTTTTGTGGTTGTTAGGTAGGGTGGCTACTAGATTGAGAGTCTAGAGTCAAACATCTGAAGGGACAGTCTCCCTGGAACTCAAGCTCCTTGCTTGCTTTCAGGTGGTAGAGAATGCCAAAAATTTGCCTGAATTTGCTTGGGACCCAGCACCAAGTGACAGTGGGGGTGAAGAGCATAACTGCCCATGAATTTTTAGAACTCCTGGCTGACTCTTTGTGAGAGTTAGAGGGACTTTTGTGCATTTGTTCCTTTGTAAATATTTGGCAGAAATGCATTGACTTACTCAGGGAGTGGTGGTCAACTATTTGCAGTTATGTTGTTGTGTAACAGAGCTCCTGATATACTTCGATGTAAGAGACTGCGGGAAATACTTGAACATCATGTTCTCCACTGATGTCTTTCTATCTGTTTGTGATGACGGAAAGTGAGAGTTGAAAGTTGGGAGTGTAGTAGAAGCGACTGGCTCTCTAGAGAGTGTATTCATTTCTTGTGCTAGGAGTGGTCATTTGATTGAGTCTCCTCGTGTTGGCTGACAGGGCTTTGAAAAGCACAGAAGCTTGGTGTTGCACGGGACAACCAGCTCTGTTTTCTTTCACAGAAAAAAAAACCAACATAGTTGCTTGGTTACTCTAGGAGCTTAGATAGGATTTGTAGAACAGAAATCTCAATAGCAACAGTGGATTGTAACCACTCCACAGCTTCCTCCTATTAGGTGTTCAAAGATGAACAGCTTCCGGAAACACGTACAGACTTGTGGGGAGATCTGAAAGACCAAAGAGGAAAATATCTCCTCATCATTTTTGTGAGTGACTGTTTTTTCTTCCTATACAGAGCTCTGTAGTTTCAAGTTTAAGATTTTTTCTTTTTTCCTTTTTTTTTTTTGAGATGGAGTCTCGCTTTGTCGCCCAGGCTGGAATGCAGTGGCGAGACCTCAGCTCACTGCAAGCTCCGCCTCCCAGGTTCACGCCTTTCCGCCTCAGCCTCCCAAGTCGCTGGGACTACAGGCGCCCGCCACTACGCCCGGCTAATTTTTTGTATTTTTAGTAGAGACGGAGTTTCACCATGTTAGCCAGGATGGTCTCCATTTCCTGACCTTGTGATCCGCCTGCCTTGGCTTCCCAAAGTGCTGGGATTACAGGCGTGAGCCACTGTGCCTGGCCCTCAAGTTTAAGATTTTGTCTTAAGACAGGAGAACTTATTTTTCTGGATTCACTTAATTTTGGTACTGGAAGACTTTTGATGCCACCAGACCATTTGGAGATCTCTGTAAAACATTACTTGATAGTCCCAATGCAGTGATTTCCTTCAAAGTTTCCTTGAATTAGATCTTCAGGCAACAAGGTTCCTGGAATTTTTCAGATCTCTGGTTTTAATGGTCTTAGGAGTACCTGGGTTTCAGGGCATCTTTAATATAGCTAGGTCTGTGCTTTGCTGCTTACTGTGATAGGGTGTATCACTATTGGATGCGGTTGAGTTAGCTGGGCCACCTATTCACACTTTCTCCTCCAATATCAGGCTTAGAAACTTCCTGATACAGTTTGGTTATAATTGTATCAGATGGATTTTAAAATTTTGTACTTATTTTTATATTATTTATATATTATTTTTTGAGACAGAGTCTCGTTCTGTTGTCCAGGCTGGAGTGCAGTGGTGAGATCTCAGCTCACTGCAGCCTCCGCCTCCTGGGTTCATGCAGTTCTCCTGCCTCAGCCTTTCAAGTAGCTGGGACTACAGGCCACCACACCTGACTAATTTTTGAATTTTTAGTGCAGACGGGGTTTCACTATGTTGGCCAGGCTGGTCTCGAACTCCTAACCTCAGGTGATCTGCCTGCCTCGGCCTCCCAAAGTATTGGGATTACAGGTGTGAGCCACCATGCCCAGCCTGGATTTTTAAATTTTTTGATCAGTTACACAACTCGTCTGGGCAGTCATTTGAATTGTACATGTGACACCTCAGTTTTCAATTTTCACCACTTGGTCTGAATAAAAACCTAAGGAGGGAAACAGACAATGGGATGTCCAAATGCTCTTGTAAGCCTGTGGAAGTTTTTGTCTCATTCTAGTGTCAGGAATTTGTGGATGGAATTATCTGGACTATTAGAATTGTTCCTTAATATTACCTCAGAATGTCTAGAGGCCCCTCCCCCGAACAAGTGCCTATGAGCTCCAGCAGCTCTCTGCTTCCTCTTCACTTTGGGCCTTTCTGCTTGCCATCTCCAGGTGGTTTTGCCATTTCTAAGGATTACCTCAGCCTCTGCTTTTATTTTTATTTATGTAAAAATTTTAAAAAATATTTATTCATTCTTTTAGAGATAGGGTCTCGTTTTGTTGCTCAGGCCAGAGTGCAGTGGCATGATTGTGGCTCACTGTAGCCTTGACCTCCTGAGCTCAAGCCATCCTTCCACCTCAGTCTCTCAAAGTATTAGGATTACAGGAGGGAGCCACCATTCCTGGCCCAGCCTCTGCTTTTAAAGGGCTCTTAGGCCACGTGCTAGTTTTTAGTTTTTTAGCTTACTGTACCCAAAGTGGAGATGAGAGATCACAGGACAACTCTAGTGCCTTATGGCTAGGCCGAAAGAAACACGTAGTTTTTTCCCAGGTAGTAGATAAGGCTCTGGCCATGGGAGTGTTGAGGACAGAGTTGTGGTAATTCTTTTTTCTTTTTGAGACGGAGTTTCACCCTTTTTGCCCAGGCTGGAGTGCAGTGGCGTGATCTTGACTCACTGCAACCGCTGCCTCCTGGGTTCAAGTGATTCTCCTGCCTCAGCCTCCTGAGTAGCTGGGATTACAGGCACATGCCACCACAGCTGGCTAATTTTGTATTTTTAGTAAAGATGGGGTTTCACTGTGTTGGTCAGGCTGGTCTTGAACTCCTGACCTCAGATGGTCCGCCTGTCTCGGCCTCCCAAAGTGCTGAGATTATCGGCGTGAGCCACTGGGCCTGGCCTCGTTTTGTTCTTTTATCATCTCTGCCAGGTTCTAGGTTTGCATGGCATTGTGTTTTGCTTGAGATGAAAGATAATATTCTATAGGGAAATAAACCTCTGGTTATTTCTAGGTTTGAATAGTCATAATTCCTTATTCTGTAGCTGTTTATGTCTTACAAGGCACTTCTGTCTTTTCTCTTGAACCTCTTAACTTTGAGGTAGGTAGGATAGATTTGTCAGAGGAAATAAGTGGTAAGTTCCTTTTTATTTTTTTTTTGAGATGGAGTTTTGCTCTTGTCACCCAGGCTGGAGTGCGGTGGCATGATCTTGGCTTACTACAACCTCCTTCTCTTTCTCCTGGGTTCAAGTGGTTCTCCTTCCTCAGCCTCCTGATTAGCTGGGATTACAGGTGACTGCCACCACACCCGGCTAATTTTTGTATTTTTAGTAGAGACGTGGTTTCACCATATTGGCCAGGCTGGTCTTGAACTCCTGACCTTGGGTGATCCACCCATCTGGGCTTCCTAAAGTGTTGGGATTACACGCATGAGCCACCGTGCTTGGCCAGTTTCTTTTCTTTTCTTTTTTTTTTTTTTTGAAATGGAGTCTTGCGGTGTCACCTAGGCTGGAGTACGGTGGTGCCATCTTGGCTCACTGCAGCCTCCACCTCCCAGGTTCAAGTGATTCTCCTGCCTCAGCCTCCCGAGTAGCTGGGATTATAGGTGTGCACCACCACACCTGGCTAATTTTTGTATTTTTAGGAGAGACGGGGTTTCACCACATTGGTCATGCTGGTCTTGAACTCCTGATCTCATGAGCCACCGCACCTGCCTAAATGGTAAGTTTCCCAAGATAACAAGTCAGTGATACCTGTATCTGGAACTGAGACCATTGAATTCTTAATTAAGGATCCCTTTTGTGCTGTGCCACGCTTCTGACTTCTACTTATTGATTGTATTTTTTTCCCATTATCCTGAGGTTTGTGTCATTGTCTTCAAATCCAGGGAAATGTCTTGTTCTGTAGGAGCAGCTATATGGGCATCCCAGTACGAAAGTTTCTAAAAATGAGGACCCTTGTTTGGAGATTATTAAGAATGTTTCTTATCTTAGTATTGTCATCCAGGTGGCTCTTTGTTTCTTAAACTGATGTGACAGATAGCATCCTGGTACTTGGATGCTATCTGAGAGTAGCCACAGGTAGAGAATGGAGCTAAGCTCAGAACCCTATTTCCTAGGGGCAGGCTTCTCTCATTCAGATTCTGCCTGTGCTATTGTGCTTTGTGAGTGTGGACTTGAGAATTTCTCTCCACTCCTTCACTACCTGAAGTTTTATCCTTCTGTGTGGTGGATAAGTATATAATTTTGAGACCAACATCCTGTCTTCTCCTACCCTACCACAGCTTACTCAGATCATAATGAGAGCTGCAGGGTTAACCTGCTTAGCAGAGCCTGTTAGCTGCAGTAATTGCAGCTTCATGCCTTATAGGTGAGAAACCAGATATTTCCTGTAAGCAGTCTGCTCTGTGAACAGAAGCCCAAGGTGTAAGATATACCTCTGTCCCTTAAAGAGGAAACAGTGGAGGATGTAATGTGGTCTGGGACAGGGGGATTGGGCATGAACTCAGCCACTAGGCTTAGTTTCTATTCCCATACCTCGTTGGCTTACACAGGGTCCATGTTCTCTGCTTCTAAGCTTTAAGTTTTAGTCATTTGACACGGTCCTGCCTTATACCTTGACCTTTCAGGGATAGATTGTGTAGCAAAGGGGCATTGGAAGAGCTGTGATTCTGGTCCTGACTCTAACACACTTTGAGTGGGGCAAGCCATGTAAAAACTCTGAGCATGTATGTGTGTCCATCTGTTAAATGGAGATAACGATTCTTTGCCCTGCCTACCTCACAGGATTGTGAGGCCCAAATGAGGTCCTCCCGTACCTGAGAGTGCCTTGAAAACTTGGGAAGTACTGTGAAAAAGCAGAGAGATCATATTGGAACAATGTTGTGAACTGCTTGCTTGTTGCAGTCTAACTCTCTTGCCTTAATTGGACATGGGCTGAGAGATGGGTCATACCAAAACGTGAGTGGTCGTTTCCAGTGTTTGAGAGTTAGGCTTCAACAGTGAGCTAGGCTTCAAAGCTGTTTGGTGAGCTTGGGTTGAGAACATTGAAGAATTGAGTGATCTAGGAACCCTTTCTGCATTTTGTTCTGCTGGTTTGTACTTACAGGAGATGTGAAGATTTTTATCCTGTGTTGCAGTTCATCTCTGCTCCTCCTCTCACCAGGAAGTTGGGTGAGGTGGCAGGGTTTGTAAAGGGGAGAATGGGAAGAAGGCTGTAGGCAAAGATGACTGTTTGGGACAGTCAGAAGCTTTGTTATATGGGAGCTACATTTTATGACACACTCCTGGAGAGGAGGGTTTGGAGGCCCTGGAGGTAGCTGGCAACAGCTGGGTGCTGTTGTGTGTCCAGTTTGGGACCCATCAGGTAGCATGCCCTGCCCCCCTAATTGCTAACCCTCTGTCTGCTGCTTTATCAGACTACGCGTTTGTTCACATGGAGAAGGAAGCAGATGCCAAAGCCGCAATCGCGCAGCTCAACGGCAAAGAAGTGAAGGGCAAGCGCATCAACGTGGAACTCTCCACCAAGGGTCAGAAGAAGGGGCCTGGCCTGGCTGTCCAGTCTGGGGACAAGACCAAGAAACCAGGGGCTGGGGATACGGCCTTCCCTGGAACTGGTGGCTTCTCTGCCACCTTCGACTACCAGCAGGCTTTTGGCAACAGCACTGGTGGCTTTGATGGGCAAGCCCGTCAGCCCACACCACCCTTCTTTGGTCGCGACCGCAGCCCTCTGCGCCGTTCACCTCCCCGAGCCTCTTATGTGGCTCCTCTGACGGCCCAGCCAGCTACCTACCGGGCCCAGCCGTCAGTGTCACTGGGAGCTGCCTACAGGGCCCAGCCTTCTGCCTCTTTGGGTGTTGGCTATCGGACTCAGCCCATGACAGCCCAGGCAGCCTCTTACCGCGCTCAGCCCTCTGTCTCCCTTGGGGCCCCATACAGGGGCCAGCTGGCTAGTCCTAGCTCCCAGTCTGCTGCAGCTTCTTCACTTGGCCCCTATGGTGGAGCCCAGCCCTCGGCCTCGGCCCTTTCCTCCTATGGGGGTCAGGCAGCTGCGGCTTCTTCGCTCAACTCCTATGGGGCTCAGGGTTCCTCCCTTGCCTCCTATGGTAACCAGCCATCCTCTTACGGCGCCCAGGCTGCCTCTTCCTATGGGGTTCGTGCAGCTGCTTCTTCCTACAACACCCAGGGAGCAGCTTCCTCCTTAGGCTCCTACGGGGCTCAGGCAGCCTCCTATGGGGCCCAGTCTGCAGCCTCCTCACTAGCTTATGGAGCCCAGGCAGCTTCTTACAATGCCCAGCCCTCGGCCTCTTACAATGCCCAGTCTGCCCCATATGCTGCACAGCAGGCTGCTTCCTACTCTTCCCAACCTGCTGCCTATGTGGCGCAGCCAGCCACAGCTGCTGCCTATGCCAGCCAGCCAGCAGCCTACGCCGCACAAGCCACTACCCCAATGGCTGGCTCTTATGGGGCCCAGCCAGTTGTCCAGACCCAGCTGAATAGTTACGGGGCCCAAGCATCAATGGGCCTCTCAGGCTCCTATGGGGCTCAGTCGGCTGCTGCGGCCACTGGCTCCTATGGTGCCGCAGCAGCCTACGGGGCCCAACCTTCTGCCACCCTGGCAGCTCCTTACCGCACTCAGTCGTCAGCCTCATTGGCTGCTTCCTATGCTGCCCAGCAGCATCCCCAGGCTGCTGCCTCCTACCGCGGCCAGCCAGGCAATGCCTACGATGGGGCAGGTCAGCCGTCTGCAGCCTACCTGTCCATGTCCCAGGGGGCCGTTGCCAACGCCAACAGCACCCCGCCGCCCTATGAGCGTACCCGCCTCTCCCCACCCCGGGCCAGCTACGACGATCCCTACAAAAAGGCTGTCGCCATGTCGAAAAGGTACTGTATGCCCCCCCGCCTCTGCCCCCAGCTGGGGCTTAGGGCAAGGGGCTGAGGTTGGCATGGGAGGGAAACTGGAGGCATCGGCCCCTCCCTTGGTCTTCTCTTCTCTATTTCCATGGGATGTCCAGAGGCCGAGGGGAGCAGTGTCAATGAACTTCTCTGGTCACCAGGGTTCAGGTGGAGCATAGTGCTCAGCCTGGGGTGGTACCTGCTAGTCAGACCAGGCACACTGTCACCTGTCTAGGCTAGCCCAAGTGTCATTGGAGCTACTGCCTGCAGGACTGTGGCCCATATCTTTTCCCACTGTCTCAAGGATCCTTAAGCCTATTACGTGGTTGTCCTGGCTTTGGCAGGGATGGGGGTTAAAGAGTAGTCCCTTTGGCACTCACTGGCTAAAGGCAAGTTTATGAGGTGCGTCCACTCTGGGAAGTTGGGGACCTTGCTTTCATCCGCCGTTCTGTTGATAAACAACCAAGGTCTTTCTCTGCAGGGCCCAGGGGTGGAGATAGTTTGCTGTGGTGTGGGAATGTAGACCAAAATCCACCTTGGCCAGTTCAGAGGGGAGGACTTCAGTGGAGGCTTTGGTTTCCCACTGAGTTGAAGCCAGGCTTGATTTTTTTTGGCCTGGATAGGGTGATGAGCCTTCTGACTAAAGGAAACCAATCTCTTGGAGACCAGTGTGATCACACCCTCCCTTTCCCCATTGGCATCTCCCCAGTGCCCACCTGGAGTCCTCCCCTCAATTGTCTCATTCACCAACTGTCTTCTTCTCTCGACTAGGTATGGTTCCGACCGGCGTTTAGCCGAGCTCTCTGATTACCGCCGTTTATCAGAGTCGCAGCTTTCGTTCCGCCGCTCGCCGACAAAGTCCTCGCTGGATTACCGTCGCCTGCCCGATGCCCATTCCGATTACGCACGCTATTCGGGCTCCTATAATGATTACCTGCGGGCGGCTCAGATGCACTCTGGCTACCAGCGCCGCATGTAGGGCCATCCTGGGATGGGGCACCACAGGGCGGGAGGGAGAAAAGAGGTGGGTAGGGTTACAGATCCAGGTTATAACTACTCTGGCCCATACCTTTCCTGGTTGTGGTTTTTCATCCCCTCTACCATGTGGGCCTTCCCCAGGAGATGATCCTTTTGAGTGTTCGGCAGTAACCTACTTTGTTCCTTCGCCTCAGCAGCAAATCTTGCTACTGGCTCTAGATCTGCGGTTTTCCCTCTGCCCTGCCTCCCGTCTCCCCAGAATGGGAATTTCTTTTATGTTTTTATTTTTTTCCTGGCTCCTTTTTATTTTTGTGCGCGATATTTAAGGTCGTCTGGATGGGGAAGCAACCTGCAGCTGAGGTCGCCGGCGCCTTTTTCTTTTTAGATGGGAAGGAGGCCAGGAAAGGGTTAGCTTAACCATTTCCTATGCGCCAAGCTGTGCCAGCAGTCCAGGGTACCCTGACTGTCCCTCTGTAGACTGTTGAGAGTGAGTTCTTGTTGGGACAGTCAGTTGGCATGTATCCAAGTCCCTGCTGACCGCTAATGTTCTAGCTGATGGTGAGCGGCACAGTCCCACTTCCCCATCTCCCCAAGTAGGTGGTGTTAGAAAACCTTAATTTTTTTTCCCTTTTGTATGGACTACAAATAAAACTTGGGGCAATTTGCAGTTTGGAAACCTGGTTGTCATTGTCTTGATTGCATTCAGTGTCAAAGCAGCCAATTTGACATCCAGGAATACATGATAGCTAAAGGGAAGGCAGTCAGAGAACCCAGGACTGGTGAGGAAAGGGGTTTGAATGTGGGAATTAGAAGGATTGCCCTGTGACCCAGAAGGATTTAGCTTATCGTCGTCCTGCTAGCCTGCCATCTTTCAGACTGGAGTCCAGAGCAAGTGGCCTGGTCCTCAGCCCTCAACTTGAGTTAGTCACACCAAAATGCAGTAAATAATGCCCATTTTCCTCTGCCTGTGCTTGATCATTTTCCCTCACTTTTCTCTAGTTCAGGAATAACCTGTGTTCCAATGGGATGGTTCTGGGGTTTGGCCTCTCAGGAAGTGGGGAGTGGGCTGCCGTGGTATTTACAGGCTAGTGGATCCTTTAGGCAGTAGGCTTAAATGAGTGCTGGGGCTGGAACCCAGAGAGGAACCAGTAGTGGAGTGGGGGTAATGGCATTGCCTGATACTGCCCTATGGTTGGAAGAAGGAAGGGCAGAGAAAACTTGAAGCAGGTATGGGGCATTCTGGTTGTATTTTGCCTGTTGAGCTGTTACCATGGAGCATCCTCCTGTGTCCTGCCAACCCCTGCCATTATAGTAACCGGAGACTCTTTTTCCCTATTCCTATCTGTTAAGATTTTCAGATGTCCTCTCTCTGGGTTTATATTTGAAGGTATAGAATCTGGGAAGGGGTGGGGTGCAAGCATAACCAAGTAGGGATGCTAGGGTTGGGTGGGGAATTGAGGACTCTTTTTATGCTTTTATTCTAGGGCTGGGGATTGAGGACCTGGGCAAAAAATAGGACATTTCCAACCAGGGACAAGATGGAGGCTTGGGCTTAATGCTGGGTAAACGGAAGACTGGTTGAGTGGGATAATGGGAGAACATACTGCTCCTTTGGGAAAAGGAGCTTTAAAGACTGGGTTTGGGAGCCTATTGGGGCAAGGCGACTTTGGGGAGGTGTATGTGTCAGTCAGGTGGAGGTCAGGTGGGTTGTCTTACGCCTCCTTTACTGGCTTCATGTGAACTTGCCTGTGACAGTATCTTGCCCTAGATGTCCTCTTCCCTCTTGCCAATGTGCAAAAGCATTCAATCTTATGACTGTGAGTTCTTATTTGTGGATGCTAACTGGGGTAATCTCAGGGAGTACTGGGGGCCATGGCTCTTTGCCTTGCTTCTCTTTCTGCTCACTGCTTTGCTTTCAGGTGCTTAGCTGCTCCTTTTTATTTCTTTGCAGGACTGGGAAAGAATGGGAGGAGGATTTTGATAAGTTTCTTGTTTTCTGTGTGGTGATGGGGTGGTCTGAGGGTCAAGCTAATAAGCCTACCTTTGGTTATTACCCTGGAAAATGGAGGGTTGATGGTAGGGTTATGATTGTGGCCTGCATATTTGCAATTTTTCTTTGTCAATGTGGCTTTCTGTCATCTTCCTTTCTCTCCAGTGAGGGTTCTGCCACTGTCTCAATCCTTTGGTTCCTGCAAAAAACAGCTAAATGTGCTCTCAGGGCCCGTGGTGATGTTCTCTGTCGCAGCCCCAGGTCTTGAAAGTGACCTGGCCCAGATGAGCGCTCTGCCTGCTTGTCATCTTTAGGTCCTGCTGCCCCTGCTGCCTCAGCCCTCAGGCTCCTAAATGCTCAAGCCAGAAGGAGCTACAAAGCCAAATCATTTGTCATTTTTCTCTTGCAGATTGTTTTAAAATCTCCCTCCCCTCTTTTATTTTAATTATGTCACCTGTGTTAATCCTATAGCCTGCTTCTTTGGTTTGTGGATTGCTGATTTGAAGTTCTATAACTTGGGGAAAGTTGGGTCGAGTGAATGGGAGGACAGACATTGAATGTGTGTTCTGGAAAAATGGACTCTCTATCTTCAGATTATTCAACTTCTCCACCTATCACCTCTACAACTTGGCCTTCGTTGGAGAAGTTTTAGTTGGCTTATTCCTGGAACAAGACCACCTAGAGGCTTTTAGCCCTGTCACCCTGCCCTCTTCTGAGGTTTGGACCTTGTTTTAAATTCTGTGTGTGGTGGACTTGAGACCATCTCTTGTAATGGAGGTAGTGGGACTATCACTGAGGGGGTCAGCCTATCCAGGTAGGCTACTGTTGTAGTCAAACCCATCACTTAAATTCTGCCACAGTCTGTGCATAGACTGTTGGTTGATCCTCCAGGCATTTTGTCCTATTAAGCCAAATAGGTGGATATCATGGGATGGATGAGGTCATGATGAAAACAGATTTACTAGATTTATGGACCTAGTATACTATGTACATATGGAAAACTGAATTTTACAATCTATAGGTACCTTTGGTCATAAAGAGTAAAAGTCTATAGTTTTCTAGAAAATAATTCTTAAATCTGGGTTTCATGTCTAGATTTAAATCATATCATGTATCTGTAGTGCTTCAAATGTGGCCAGGTGTGGTAGCTGACACCTGTAATTCCCAGTGCTTTGGGAAGCTGAGGCAGGAGGATTGCTAGAGGCCAGGAGTTTGAGGCCAGGTTCGGCAATACAGTGGGACCTTGTCTCTACAAAAAAAAAAAAAAAAAAAAAAAAAAGGCCAGCTGTGGTGGCACGCACCTGTAGTCCTAGCCACTTGGGAGGCTGAAGCAAGAGGATTGCTTGAACTCAGGAGTTGGAGGTTATGATCACGCCACTGCACGTCAGCCTGTGTGACAGAGCAAGACCCTGTCTCAAATAAATTAAGAAACAAATGCCTTGCTCAGCTAGCTGAGGCAGGCTTTGGGCTGACCTTGAGGGATTTATTGTCTGGGAGGCAGGACCTACCTCAGTGAGCTAGTTTATATGAATAATTATTGATAGGCAAGTGGTAGATAAGGAAGGAGAGAATGTGGCAGTAGTCGCAGGTAGTTAAAAATTTTTTTGGAGAAATGGTTTGATTTAAAAACCGACTTGGGGCAGGTGTCATGGCTCAGGTCTGTAATCTTAGCACTTTGGGAGGCCGAGGTGGTCGGGTCCCTTGAGTTCAGGAGTTAAGACCAGCCTGGTATACATGGGTAAACTTCATCTCTACAAAAAAAATTAGCCGTGGTGGTACGTACCAGTAGTGCCTGTAGTCCAGCTGAGGCTGGAGGATCTCTTGAACCTGGGAGATGGAGTTTGCATTGAGCTACCGTCATGCTGCCGCACTCCAGCCTGGGCAACAGAGTGAAACCCCATCTGAGGAAAACATAAAAACAACAAAAAAAAGTAAACTGACTTGGTATAGACAAGAGTGACTGTTGTCTCTTTAATCAGGTTTTTAAGGTTTTTTTTTTTTTTTTTTTGAGATGAGTGTCACCCAGACTGTAGTGCAGTGGCGCGATCTCCACTCACTGCAAGCTCTGCCCCCCGGGTTCCTGCCATTCTCCTGCCTCAGCCTCCCGAGTAGCTGGGACCACAGGCACTCGCCACCATGCCTGGCTTTTTGTTTTGTTTTGTTTTTTTTGAGAGGGTCTCACTATGTTGCCTAGGCTACACTTGAACACATGGCTCAAGTGATCTTCCTACCTTGGGCTCCCAAGTAGCTGGGACTACAGGAGGTTTCCTGAATTTGAATCCTGGCTCTACCTCTTCTTGGCTGTGTGATCTTGGACATATCAGGAGCACTGTCTCTGTTTTGTTACCTATAAAATGAGGATAATAGCTAACTACAATAAATTAATTAATACAACAAACTAAATTTATATTAGTGTAGCCAACACAATTATATTAGTCTTCGTAGCAACTCACATGCGTTAGCTATTTCTTTTTTTTTTTTTTTAAGATGGAGTCTTGCTCTTGTTGCCCGGGGGGAGTGCAATGGCGTGATCTCGGCTCACTGCGACCTCTGCCTCCTGGGTTCAAGTGATTTTCCTGCCTCAGCCTCTCGAGTAGATGGGATTACAAGTGCCCGCCACCACATCCAGCTAATTTTTGTATTTTTAGTAGAGACAGGATTTCACCATGTTGGCCAGACTGGTCTTGAACTCCTGACCTCAGGTGATCCACTTGCCTTGGCCTCCCACAGTGCTGTGATTATGGGTGTGAGCCAACATCCCTGGCCAACATTAGCTTTTTTTTTTTTTTTGGAGACGGAGTCTTGCTCTGTTGCCCAGGCTGGAGTGCAGTGGCGCGATCTCGGCTCACAGCAAGCTCTGCCTTCCGGGTTCACACCATTCTCCTGCCTCAGCCTCCCGAGTAGCTGGGACTACAGGTGCCCGCCACCTCGCCCGGCTAATTTTTTGTATTTTTAGTAGAGATGGGGTTTCACGGTGTTAGCCAGGATGGTCTCGATCTCCTGACCTCGTCATCCGCCCGCCTTGGCCTCCCAAAGTGCTGGGATTACAGTCGTGAGCCACCACGCCTGGCCAACATTAGCTATTTCTAAACCTATTTTGTAAATGTGGGAGTTGAGGTTGTTGGTTAAGTGACTATGTTTTTTTTTTTTTTTTTTTTTTTGATATGGAGGCTTGTATCACCCAGGCAGTAGTGCAGTGGCCTGATCTTGGCTCACTGCAACCTCATCCTGGGTTCAAGCAATTCTGCCTCAGCCTCCTGAGTAGCTGGAACTACAGGGATGCACTACCACACCCAGCTAATTTTTCTGTTTTTAGTAGCGGCAGGGTTTCACCACGTTGGCCAGGCTGGTCTCGAACTCCTGATCTCAAATGATCCTTCCACCTGACCTTTCAGAGTGCCGGGATTACGGGTGTGAGCCACCATGCCTGGCCTTAAGTTACTATTCTTAAGATCAAATGGCTACAAAGTTGGTGGCTCAAGGAACTGAACCAGACATTGGAACCATCTAGGGCTTTGTTTATAATCGTTGTGCTGTACGACTGTTGGGAGAGTCAAATGAGAACATGTGACACGTATATATAGTCACTTCTCATGAAATGTTAGCCATCTCATATTAATGAGTTAGAACATTCTGGGGACACTGGGATGGCCTAGTGGAGCAGCACACAGCTGATCCAAAGATTT